GGGAAACTCCTCCTCTGCGCCCCAGAATTCCCGGAGCGCCATCGACGCGGTTGGAGGCGAGAGGGAAGTCCTGGGGAAGGAGGGGGTTGGGTCTTTTCCCACTAAAATCGGGAATTCTGTGGGTTTAGGTGGCAGAGGAATTCCTGGCGTGGTCTCCCTGACTTTTATGGAATTGTGGGATGGGCTGGGTGCAGGGGAACCTCATCCCATTCCAGCCCTTCCAAGGGCAGGGGTACTTCCATCATCCCAGAGTCCTCCAAGCTGGCCTTGGACGTTCCCAGGATGCAGGGGCAGCCCCAGCTTCTCTGGGAATTCCGGCCCAGCCAGAATTCCTTCCCAAGATCCCGTCCATCCCTGCCCTCCAGCACTGGGAGCCATTCCCTGTGTCCCGTCCCTGCCATCCTTGATGATCCCAAGGCTGGAGGTGCCACCACAAAACCCCATTCCCACTTTCCCTCATTCCCACATTTCCACCAGGACATCCAGCTTGCTCTGCACTTCCAGCGCATTTCACAGAGCGCTTCCAGGAGCCTTTAAGGATCATCCCAACCTTGGGAATCCCCAGGAATCTCCAGGATTCCCACATTCCCACCAGGACATCCAGGTCACTCTGCACTTCCAGCACATTTCTTGGAGCACTTCCAGGAGCCTTTAAGAATCATCCCAAGACTGGGAACCCCCTGGAACCCCCTGGAATCCCCATGACTCCCATGAATCCCCGTGACTCCCATGCTCTGCACTTGACCCTACCGCCATTCCCACATTCCCACCAGGACATCCAGCTCACTCCACACTTCCAGCACACTTCACTAAGCGCTTCCAGCACATTTTAAGGACCATCCCACCCCCTGGAACCCCCTGGAATTCCTGTGACTCCCATGACTCCAGTGAATTCCCATGACTCCCGTGCTCCACACCTTCCACACCGCTGATGCACTTGACCCTACCGCCGTTCCCACATTCCCACCAGGACATCCAGCTCACTCCACACTTCCAGCACATTCCAAGGACCATCCCACTCCCATTCCAGAACATTCCAAGGACCACNGGGAAACTCCTCCTCTGCGCCCCAGAATTCCCGGAGCGCCATCGACGCGGTTGGAGGCGAGAGGGAAGTCCTGGGGAAGGAGGGGGTTGGGTCTTCTCCTACTAAAATCGGGAATTCTGTGGGTTTAGGTGGCAGAGGAATTCCTGGCGTGGTCTCCCCGACTTTTATGGAATTGTGGGATGGGCTGGGTGCAGGGGAACCTCATCCCATTCCAGCCCTTCCAAGGGCAGGGCTACTTCCATCATCCCAGAGTCCTCCAAGCTGGCCTTGGACATTCCCAGGATGCAGGGGCAGCCCCAGCTTCTCCAGGAATTCCGGCCCAGCCAGAATTCCTTCCCAAGATCCCATCCATCCCTGCCCTCCAGCACTGGGAGCCATTCCCTGTGTCCCATCCCTCCCATCCTTGATGATCCCAAGGCTGGAGGTGCCACCACAAAACCCCATTCCCACTGTCCCTCATTCCCACATTCCCACTAGAACATCCAGGTCACTCTGCATTTCCAGCACATTTCTTGGAGCACCTCCAGGAGCTTTTAAGGATCATCCCAACCCCAAAAATTCTAGGGAATCTCCAAGACTCCCACCAGAACATCCAGCTTGCTCTGCACTTCCAGCACATTTCATGCACTTCCAGCATGTTTTAAGGATTCTCCCAATGCTGGAAATCCCCGGGAATCCTCACCTTCCACGCCGCTGATGCACCTGACCCTGTCATACACCTTGCCAGAACCACCCCCATTCCCACATTCCCATCACCAAATAAATCCAGGTCACTCTGCACTTCCAGCACATTTCATGGAGAACCTCCAGGAGCTTTTAAGGATCATCCCAACCCCAAAAATTTTCAGAAATTCCCAGGATTCCCACCAGGACATCCATGTCACTCCATACTTCCAGCACATTCCTTGGAGCACTTCCAGGAGACTTCAAGGATCATCCCAACCTCGGGAATCCCCAGGATTCCCACCAGGACATCCAGGTCACTCTGCACTTCCAGCACATTCCAAGGACCATCCCACTCCCAGGAACCCCCTGGAATTCCCATGACTCCCATGAATCCCCGTGACTCCCATGCTCCGCACTTGACCCTACCGCCATTCCCACATTCCCACCAGGACATCCAGCTCACTCCAC